TGAGTTTGTGTGGTTGATATTAATTGATAAAGTAAGAATAAAGTAAGAATGATTTTGGGCCACACAAAGTTTACCAAATAAGGTATGGGACAATTAAATAGGGACATCCCAATATGGTAAAACGGGACATTTAAAAGGGGACGGAGGGAGTACACAACAAGCATGTTGGTCGGATGGGGTTGGTTTGTTCACTTAGTAGCAGCGCGCGTCATAGATTTGGGTTCAATTCCCAGGCGCGGCTTTTGTTGAAACTTAAATTTTTGGTGGCTTAATTATCACTAATGACATGGATAATAAACAAATGACGTGGATAATAATGATGTGGACAAAAACGATGACTAGGATATACACGTGGATTTCCGGCGGACATGTGACATTTTTTTGGCCGGAATATTGAATGGTACCGCCGGTTGCAACATTTAAACGTAGTTGAGGTACTGATTTGCTTCATTAAAGAGTTAAGGTACCAAAATGCAACATTACCAATAGTTGAGGTACTGTTTATGCATTTTACTCGCAGATCGATTCTACATTCTTGTTAGATATAGCATAGGGTTGTATGACATTCCTGAACGTTTGAACTCCAAACAGACCATTGTTTTTTTTTATTTATTGTTTGTTCAATCGATTGAGAATTGACGAAGCATACAGAGGCTGCAATTTTATTCCTTCTTTTATTTTTTATTTCTCCCCTCTTTTACTTTCCAGCTTCTGCTGCTACACGGGGCCTTTGTGTTGATGCTTTTGTGCTGCTACGTGTGCCTTTTGGTTGATGTTACTTTCGAGAGATCATGTCCTTTTTGTTGAGCTCTTTGCTTATCTATTTTATTTTATTTTATTTTGCTGATTTATCTTATCAAATTGATTTTTCAGAAAGTATTTCTTAGGCATTCATATATTTACAATCACAATGTTATAAAAATGTCATACTTGTATTTTATGTCATATTATCATCCTGGGATATTTTTCCTACTTGAGAAATGAGAACTATTGAAAAAACTGCGTAGTATAACAATGGCCTTATTTGGCAATTGGCTGTCAACTGTTATCTGTTAGCTGGTTATGACAGCTAATTGACAATAGCTGGTTGTGTCAACTGTTTTAGTTGACTGATCATGTTAGTTTGTTGTCAGTCAATGTTTGGTAAATTAGTTGTTTAAGAATAGCTGTTTGAATGTAAAAAGACATTTAAGGACATATGTATTTTAATTGGTTTGTAGCTATTGCTTATAACAATAAAATTGCATGCATTTACTTAAAGTAAAAATTATTCAAAATGCAAAAAGACATACAAGGACATTAGTACATATTTATTATTTATTATAACAACCATGTTTATAAATAGAATTACTTATAAAATAAAATAAGAATAATTCAGCTATTTTAAATTTAAACAATTAACTCAACTCATAATTATTTTTTTTTAAAAAAATCAACTAATAATTGATTAAAAACTCAACTCATAAAAACAAAAATTAAAATGAATATAATCATATTCTCTCTCTCTGTTTTTTTCCTTTTGTATTATCTTCCACACCTTGTGTCTCCCTTCTTCCCTCCCCCTTTAGCTTTTCTCTCTTCCCAATTCTCCTATCCTTCCTTACTCCTTTTCTTTTGTTTTTTCCCAGGCCAATTCTTATAATTTTCGATGGATGCTCTTATGTTCTAAGAGAAAACACTGAAGGGTGCGGTCTCTTCTTCCGTTGACAACTCCTTCTTCATCATTTCCTTGTTTTGCTTTGCTATCCTCCTCTTGAAGAAGAAATAGGTGGCTATGGTGAATAGAAGCAGGATCTGCCGATCTGGAACTTTTTCTAATTGTTGGTGTGATGCCATGGGTTTGCCGCCGACTCTGGTTTGCCTAAGGAAATAGTGATCGTGGTTGATAATCAAAGAATTTGATTTATTGGTGAAAAGAAAATTAGACTATTGATAGAAATAACGATTAAGGGTATAAATGGGTAAAAGGGATCAGCCAAACAAAACGCTGCCATCCCCAGCTTTTCCATTTTCGGCTTTTTGAGCTTCACCAGCCGTAGGCCTGTTAATGGGTCGGGTCCGGGCCGGAACGTAGTGTTCCAGACCCGGACCCGCTAAGTTAATAATGGATCCAGACCCGACCCGTTTACTCGACGGGTCTGAAAATTTGGACCCGGACCTGGACCCAACAGGTCTCGGAACCGGGTCGGGTAGACCCGCCAAGTATGATACCGTTATAAATTTTGTGAAAAATAACAAGACCTCTATGTGAAATGCAAAGAAAAGTGCGGAAACTAAAAAGCAAAATATATCCTCACTTTTTAAAAAAATCAAGGTTTCTCATGTTATTACTTTTATCCAATAAAGTATTGGTTCTTGCGTATAACTCAACACTCTGTGTCGCTTTTTCTCGTACATAGAGCTCGTAGCATAAACTTCAAATTAAGTCACAAAAGATGTCTTGGACTAATGAGAATATAAAAACATATTGTATGGAGTGTATGATAATGATATAATAATATTAATAATACACATTTATCACTATGAATAAACGGTCAAAATGGGTATTAATTTAATACACACACTAATAGGTATGTATTAGTGTGTGTATTTTCAATTGAAGAATTACAACTAATAATTTTATGTATTATTATTAGGAAAAATTGAAAATAATAATCCCAACTATTACCCATCCGCTAACAATAATCCCAACTATTGATTATTTTTGTATAATCCCAACTATATGAGCCATCCGCCAATAATGGTCCATGAACAAATATTACCTTCTATAAAAGTGAATTTTAAATAAAAATTAAGCGTGAAAATTAAAAGTTGGGATTATTTATAGAGATTACTTGCTATATCTCTTCTCATCCACTTTAGAAACTTCATGAATTTATTTACAGGGACTATTATTGGCGGAAGGTCCCTAAAGTTGGGATTATTCTGAAATAATCGATAGTTGGGATTATTATAAGCGGACCGCCAATAGTTGGGATTATTACAATCAATTTTTCCTTATTATTATTATGAATGTGTGTGTATATAGTTTGTAATTTTTTACTTGAAGTGTTATAATTAATTACTGTATGTATTAGAGTGTTTGTATACAAATAAGAAATTTTAAACGGGTCCGGATCCTTAACGGGTCGGAATCATATGTATCGTACCCGACCCGTTTATTAAATATACTAACGGATCCGGATCCGGGTCCAAGTAAACGGAATAAAATATAGATCGATACCCGTTAAAAATAACCGGGTTCGGGTCGGGTCCGGGTCTAGACCCGACCCATTGACAGGCCTAACCAGCCGAAGGAAGCATCCGATTGCCAAACTAAATTATTGGCTATTTGATCGGTCAAATAATCTAAATTTGGTCAAAGAAGCTGAAACTTGGCTTCTTTGATCCGAGGGAAGCCATTTCCCAAATATAGTCAATGTATTATAAACATTGTCAAAATACTAACAAGAATTTCACAATGTTCAAAGTAATGACTTACGATGGCAATTTCAATGCTATAAATAATAAGTAATAACATTATATTATAACAATGTCAATTATTTAAAAAATGACATTGTAAAAATGACAATGTCAATGGTTTAAAAATGACATTGTGATAATGACATGTCAATTTCAATGCTATAAAAATGTCACTTTGACGACATTGTCAAGAAGTGACATTGTATTCGATGATGACATTGAGATATATTTTCCAATGTCATATCATTGTAAAATATCAAAATGTGTAGAAACTGTCAAAATGTTAGAAAGTTATCACAATGTCAAATAATGAAAATGACTGTCAAAGTTACAAAATGACATTGTAATAATGTCAATGTCAATACCATAAAAATGACATTGTATTAATGACAATGTCAATGACGATGTCAATGACTGATGTAACAATGTCAAATTTAGAAAAATGACCATTGTTGAAAATAAATTTTGATAATGTTTTATAATGTTATTATATGGCAATGTGACATATAGTCTTAATATATAGAAAAAAAATTAAATGATGCCATTATTTGAAAATTATGGGAATGAGTTATGTATATGACAATGACCGATGTATATGACATTTAATGATGCCATTATATGAAAATAAATTATCATTGCGTGGCGCCGTGAAATCTTAAAAAAAAAATGAGTGCGTGAAATATAAACAAAATAAAAAACATATAAAAACATCATTATTAGCAGCATAATATGGAGTATTACGATTTTGAAAAGGAATTAGGAAATAGAAAGAACATTAACTAATGCTAAAATGTGCACGGTGCATATGTGGCATGAGCGATAGCCACATAAATATTAGCAAATAAGTTATCTCTCTTCTTATGTGAATGATTTTATACAATTTTGGTAAGGTTTTCTTTAATGTCAAGAAGACTGTCTAGATCGATGTAGACATTGTGGTTGAGATTGCAGAGAAAAACTTACCAAACTTGTATAAAATTATTTAAATAAGGAGAGAGATAATTTATTTTTTAAGATTTATGTGTTATCTCTCATGTCACATGTGTACCGTGCACATTAAAACATTGGAGATGCTCTAATAGCCAGAACAGCAAATAGAAAGAAGCCAAGAAGCAAAACTAAAAGTAATTATGAATAAACAAAATAAAAAACACAAGAAAATAAGAAAAAGACCGGATCTGCAAGATGACGGATGAGAAGTAGAAGACATAGAAAAAGAGCGACGGAATTGAAGAAACAAGGAGGAGAGAAGGAGAGGAGGAAAGGAGGAGGAAGAGCATATCTGGATCTGCAACATCGTCGACGGCGTCGATGACGCCACTCACGCCAAGAAGCCGCTCCCCTACCGTATGAATGAAATTAATTCTTCGTGACTTTGTCGACAAAAAAGATCACAGGGAAGGGAAGCGAAATAGGGATTAAGGGTAAATATGGAATTCAAGAAAGTATAGTCCTATTTAGGAGTTAAAAAGAACATATTATTCTCCTAAAAATAGATTAAACAACAGAGATTTAACCAAAAAGTAAAATTATTCAGACAACATTGATATAGACTCATGCAAACAGTTAATTAAATTATCATGCAATTTACTTTAATCAACTGAACATAGTGATTGGTAAAAACAACTATAAAATCTATTGATATCCATCAATTGATAGAATCGACTTTGAGCTAGCTGTACTCTATATAAACCATCAGATTCCTCCAAATTTCTGTTCAATTCATTCATACACAATCTAGCTACCTACAATCCTTCAATTCAGCCGAGCCCAAATGGGTAACAGTTGTTCTTCATCATCGTCTTCCTCGTCGTCTCTCGTAATCACGAGGTCTACTAAAAGAAAATCAGACAAACCAGCCGTCGCCGGAGTAGCCATTCTGGTAAAATTGGACGGGAAAGCGCAAGAGTTCTGGCAACCGGCGGTAAGAGCCGGCGACATTCTCTCGGAGAACCCAAACTGCATCCTCTGTAGCTCCGAGGCATTGAACGTCGACTCGCCGGTGGAGCCCTTGGCCGGCGACGAGGAATTGCAGCTCGGCCAGCTCTACTTCCTTCTCCCGATCGGGAAGTCCCACTTGCCGCTCTCTCTCCACGATTTGTGTGTTTTGGCCGTCACGGCCAGCGCCGCCCTCGGTGATCGGAGATTGAACGTCGTGAGAGAAAGCCGGGTCCCGGCGGGCGGAGGAGGATTCTCAGCCGAGGCACTGGTGGCGGCGGGAGATGCGGCGTCGTTTGGGTGGTTCATCAAGATGGTTGTGGCCAGCAAAAAGTTGACTTCTGTCCTCTTTGAGCCAAAATCGTCGTATTGCATTGAATTGTTAAATTAGGATATGAGTCAAATAGATAACAAACGGAGCAAGAAAAATTACCCCATTAGTATTTGATTTGACTGTCCCTTTCGCGTGAATTTGTGGTGTACTATGAACACCCATTGATTAATTCTTTTACTCCCTCCGTTTTTTAATAAACTTCACACTTTCCTTTTTGGGACGGTCTAAAATAAACTTCACACTTCTTTATTTCCTTTTTTGGCAAAGAAATCTATATCAAAACAGTGTCAAACAGTGGCTCAACAGTGCCAAACAGTGTCTCTACAGTGCCAAACAGTGTCAAACAGTGCCTCAACAGTGTACTCTACAGTAAAGTCAAATTTCTTTCCTTATTTTTTGTGAAGTCAAACTGTGAAGATTAAAAAAAACCGGAGGTAGTATTTTGCAATAGTGTTTGTAAACAGGATGTTTTATTTTGGGCCGTTTTCAGTTTCAGACCAGACCAAACGTCCAGACCAGATCAGATCAGACGTCCAGACCAGATCAAACTTGACTTTCGTAGTTATAAAATACACAGAGACCAGACGTTTACAAGACCAGACCAGACCAGACTAGATCAGACTAGACCAGACCAGCAAATTTCAGTCCAAAAGAAAACTTCTTAGTGGTAATTTAGAATTTAATTAGCTTTATTTCTTATTTTACCAGTAAGGTGGTGGTTGACAAGTTGAAATTCATTTTTATTTGATATTAAATAAAATGACCTAATGCAAAAAATTAAAGTACATTTAATTTCATGGGCAAATCATTAAACAAAATGTAACGCAAAAAGGAAAGCCTATATCATACAACCGGGTGTACGTACACCCGGTCCAACTAAAGAAGACAGCCCAACAATCAGTACAGACCATTTTTTCGGTGGCAATTTTGTAATTTAAGCGAAAAATCGCGACTTCCGCTAAATGAGCAATAATGTAATTGTAGTGAGCATCTGACCTATTTTATTGAGTATTAGGAGGCTAACAATGAGTTTCGCGATATTTGCTTCATATATTCTAATTCTCTTTCTTTTTCTTATTTTTTTCTTTTAAAAAACTTATTAAATTATATCTATAATCCACTCTTATTAATTTCAATATGCGAGTCTAATATAATATGATACTTTTGAAATATGCATTGATATGACATTGTAAAAATGAGCTTTGCATCAGTACAAAATGAGCATACATAACTACAAAGTGTACATTGATATGAAAATCGTAAGGTTTTGTTAGTTAAACATCACGCCATTTTAATTGAGAATCAAACATCCGCTATTGAGATAAAAACTGCAGTTTCTTGTGAATGAACATTAATGAACTTTTAATGAGCATCCAATCTATTACGTTGAGTATTAGGAGTCTAATATATGAGCATAAGATTGTTATCAGATGAACATACGTAACTAACAAAATGAGCACTAATGAATTTGTTAGTTGGTTTGTTAGTTGAAAATCACGATATTTTCATTGAGCATCAAACCTCCTCTATTGAGATGGAAATAATGGTTTCTGTTAAATGAACATAAAACGCATTTCTAATGTGAATCTAATGTAATATGATATGTTTGAAGTATGCAGTCTTTTAAAGTGAGTATAAAACAGTACCAAATGAGCATACATAACTTACAAAACGAGTATAAAAAAATTTAAAAACGCATTTTTGTGTGCTCATTCATTTTGGATAATATACTCATTTGAATTTAACACCAAAGTCATTTCTATTGTGCTCAATATTCATTTGTGTATTGATGTGACATTTTAAAATAAGTATAAAACAAATATTAAATGAGCATACGTAACTTACCAAATGGGATATAGAAAAATAAAACATTAATATCTAAAATATTTTAATTGAATAAAAATTAAAGTAAAAGAAAACGAAAGGAAAAGAAAGAAGGACAAGTAAAAGTAAGAAAAGAACAAATGAAAAGACAAAAAAAGAAACGTGTGGTGGTCGAAGAGGCGACGAGGTGAAACGAAGGAGCAGGCTCAGATGCGGACAGTTTGCTACAGTTTGGTCCTTCCTCTGGTGGCGGAATGAATTAGCGAAGCTCAGATGCGGACTTCATGCCTGGGAGAAGGTAAGAGGAACAACTAATTGCAAAAATACTCGGTTGTACAGTGAGGATCGTACAACCAGGTGTACGATATATTTTACCCGCAAAAAGGGGGAAGCGTATACCATACAGCCGGCTGTACGGCTGACACCGTACAGCCGGTGGCATTTTTGTAAATTTGATGAAGTTCGTGGTTTCTCTTAAATGAGCATCGATGTAATTTTGATGAGCATTAAGTTGGTTCTTCTGAGTATTAGAAGCCTAATAACGAGCACAGTGATCTCTGCTTCATATATTCTAATTCAGTTTCTTTTTATTAATTTTTCGTTTATAAAAAAATCTTAAATTATGTTTATAATTAATTTCAATATGTGAATCTAATGTAGTATAGTATGTTTAACATGTGCAACTTTGTAAAATGAACATAAAACAATACCAAATGAGCATACATAACTTACCACATGAGTATCAAAATATTAAAAAGCTTATTTGTGTGTGCTCATTCGTTTTGGGTGTGTTGAGGTTTATTCCCGAAGATCCGAAAGCCCAACACAAGCTTTGGAAATTGTAGGGATATTGGGTTGGTTTAAAAGGTGTATAAAATATAAAATGGTGAAATATTGATCAACTCAGAAGCTAACTTGTATTCAGTAATTCGGTGATTACACTAAAACTACCCGAACGGTAGATAAGTACAAGAATACAAGAATAAGAGAGATAAATCTATTTGCTAAGCTCTGAGTCTTAAAATGCTAACCCTTTACAATGTTCTAAACACAAGTATTTATACTAAAATGGGGATGGGTAAGGTGGACACGTGGCCGAATCTGGTAGGTTGTGACCCCTGCCATGTAAGCACCCATGCCCCCACTTGCAGCCGCCATGCTCCAGCATTAAATGCGGCTTCCACTTGATAATTACCCGTTCGGGAATAGTGTTTGGGGTATGGGGCCCCGCCATAGATGTTATCTTATTATAAGAAGTATCCCGAATGCCGATCGGGTTCCTGCCATGGGTGTCTTGGTGTAACTGTTTCCAAAAATGAACCAAGTACAAGATTTACCCCGAACGCTGATCGGGACCTCTGGACTGCTTTGGGCCTGCTTCTTCCTCCCGGATTTGGGCCGGGGGTATTGGGCCTGGACCCAATATCTCAACAGGGTGTTATAATCATTTGAGTTTAACATAAAACTCTTTTTGAAATATGCATGAATGTAACATTTTAAAATGAGCATTAAACAGTACAAAATGAGCATACATAATTACAAAATGAGTATCAAAATATTAAAAAACTCATTTGTGTGTGTTCATTATTTTTGGGCGTTATACTCATTTGAGTTTAACATAAAACTCATTTCGAAACATACATGAATATGACATTTCAAAATGAGTATTGCACTAATATCAAATGAGTATACATAAATGATGAAATGAGCATTCATAAAACTCATTTAAAATGTCTAATGTGCTCATAATTTCATTTGTTATGCTCACATCTGAATAATTACATATAACTTAGATTTCTCTGACATGTATCAACAAGTGACCAAACTCACTCATCAAACTTGGGAAAGAAAAAGAGAAAAAAGAAGAGTCCAGAGCAGGAAAGAGGGAGAAGAAGCAATTAGGGCTATACACCAAGAGGAGCCGCCACAAGAGCCGCCGCTCAAGCCGGTGTTGCGCTCGTGCTGAAGGTTGCGACTGTCGAGAATCATCATCTGTGTAGGTGAGAGCGAAGAACGAGAACGATCTGCAGAGGAAGTCTAGCGCCCTGCGATCTACAAAGCTAGTGCCCTGCGATTTCCGATCTAAAAGTCCGGTTGTACCGTGCGCACAGTACAGCCGGCTGTACCATGTAATTTACGCAAAAAAGGATGTCCTGTGATGAAAATTTATTTGAGATACAATATACCAACTTTTGTGTACACTTTTGCACACTCTACCATTTGTAAGGATGTTCACCGGCGAATGGTATATTTTGTTGTGAATTGCCTATGTACACTAAAAGTGCATGTGTACACCAAGTTTTTCCTCAAATTAAAGACCCTATTTGAGATACTAGTACAAATTACCAACTTTCAAGGCCCAAATTGAAGACCCTACAACTCTAAAAGCACAAACTTTATCTCTCCCGATGATATGGGTATAATTATAAAAAAGATCATTTAAAGTTAATTTCTCTCGAAAGGCCTTCAAACAGGCTTGGCCGAATGACAAATCTGGTCAGTCCGGACTGACCATATCATTTCTCCACTTATATAATAGGTACATTTAGAGGTTAATGATATGGTAACCTTGGATTCCCCCTTTGATCTTTTTAGCATTTATTTTTAACAAAAACTAGATATTTTATTTTGCGCAATGTATAATAATCAAATTCGATTGAGCTTGTAATTAATTTCGTGACTGGATTTACTCATGAGAACTATTTTAGCTTTTCTTATATATTATTATTTATTGCTTTATAAATAAAAGCTATTTTAAATATATTTGTTTAGAATAATTCAAATTATTCAGCCAATCAATGAAGACAGTATAATGTTATCCAACACTATTGTACGTGGCCTTGTGGGATCATTACATACGTAGTATTATTTAGGTCACTTTATTGCATATGTACTATTTACAACGCTATTGTGGCCTTGTGGGTTCATGACATATTATTTAGGTCACTTTATTGCATACGTAGAGGGTTCATGCTCCTACTTCTTTTCAAAAAACAGAATAAAATCAAAATGTTAGGGCCTGTTTACTAACAGAGATATTTTCCAGTTTTCCAGAAAACTGGAAAACTAGAAAACAGGAAACGTGTTTACCAAAGAAATTCCTGGAAAACTGGAGAAAGGAAAAAAGAAAAACGCGTTTACCAAATCGTTTTCCAAAACGGAAAAAATGAGACGTGTTTCTCTTTTCCTTAATGATTTGGAGAAGTGACTTTTACTAGTTTTCCAAATTTGGAAAACGCAAATGCTATAGTGCCGCTGCAATGAATTTGCATACTTACACCTAGTGGTGGGTCCGGTCCCGCTTCGATGTCGATTCCATTCTGGTACCTCCATCCTCGTACCTTACCCCTTACCACTACCCTACCCTACCCTACCCACCCAACCCCACCCCGCATACCCATTTTTCCCTATAATGA